AACCAGAACCAGGAGGAGCACCAGAACCAGAACCAGAACCAGGAGGAAACCAGAACCAGAACCAGGAGGAGTACCAGAACCAGGAGTTGCAAAACGAGGAGGAACATCAGAACGAGCAGAACCAGGAGGAAACCAGAACCAGGAAGAGTACCAGAACCAGCAGAACTGGGAGGAGCACAAGAACCTGAACCAGGAGGAGCACCAGAACCAGGAGAACTACCAGAACCAGAACCAGGAGGAGCACCAGAACTAGGAGAACTACCAGAACCAGGAGAAGTACCAGAACCAGCAGAACCAGGAGGAGTACCAAAACCAGCAGAACCGGGAGGAGCACAAGAACCAGAAACAGGACCCAAAGAGGTCAGAGGTCAGCTGACCTCCCTCTCACATCTCCACCAGAGATCCAGAACAGGCCACCTCAGCATCCTAACCAGCTTTAGGAATCACAAATTATTTCAGATCCTCATCCAGAAAAGTAAAATTATTCAGTTCATTTGAACGTTTTAGATGTTTAGTCCCACCCCCCCACAAACACACACACACGCATATATATACACACACACACACACACATATACACACACACACACACAGCTCCCCCCCCCCCCGGTTACCGTTTGTTTGTTTCTTTGGACAGAAGCTCCCTTTGTGTGAGTCACTCACACTGAAGGGAAACGCTGCAGCCGGGACAGGACGCCACACGCAGGCCCCGCCCACACACAGGCCCCGCCCCAATAGGCCCCGCCCACAGAGGCCACAGAGCCTCCCAGAGCCGCCCTCCAGACCAGGAGTACCTCTCGGGTCCTGGTCCCCCTCTGAGGATCCAGTCTAAATTGGACTGTTTCCATCTTTCCATCAGATTTTCCATCTGAATCATTCAGAGTGTAAATTACAGGAAAAAACTGGGTCAAAACCTGAAAATAAACGCGAAAACTGATGAAATCATTCAGCTGGTTGGACTGGACCTGTTCCACTAAATCACCCCAAGTCATTTCAGCCGGTGCTGCTTTCAGCTGACGTGGGAAAAACCAGCGTCCTTAGGGTTATGAGTTGGTGCCAACGTTTGGAGTCACCAGCTCCTTAGGCGTGACATCAGGAACAACAAAGTCCACTGGCTGCTCCAGCGGCTGGAAAATCCCCAGGCAAGCGAACGCAGCGCACGCCCGTCGCCGCGGCAACGGGAAACAAACAGCTCAGCCCAGCTCATAAAACAAACAACAACAGAGTTCCTCGAAGAGCCGAGAGCAGAGGGTTTCTCCAGGGTGACTGGAAGTGCTCTCACTCTGAGGCCGCCGGAATTTCCCCCGGAGCCTGAATGCACCACATGTTCCCTCAGATCCTCCATCTGAGTCTCATCCTGTCAGAGCATGAAGCTGATCTCACATTCCAGCTGGAAAAGGACAGGAAAACATCCAAAAGTCCCAAAGTAGAAACCAGAGCAGGAACCCTGGGCTCAGGATGCGTTCACTGCCCGGAAAAGGAGTGGGACATCCAGGCTTTGCAGCCTCAGAGCTCAGCCGTCTGCAGGACAAACTGAGGCGGAGCACAAACAAAGACTGGTGGAAGGTCCAAATCCCCCCAGAACCAGAAGCTCTGAGGAGTCAGTGAACGCATCACTGCGGGAGATCCTGTTACTGTTTGGTTCAATATTTGAATCGCTGTTTTATTTTTATTTACTGGGTTTATCCCTTTGTTTACTTGGTTTATTCCCTATTTACTTGCTTAATTATTTTAATACTAATTCTATTCCTTATTTACTCACTTTATTGCCTTATTTACTCAGTTTATTCCTTTATTTACTTGGTCTATTCCTTTATATAATCATTTTATTCCTTATTTACTCATTTTATTCCTTATTTACTTGGGTTAATCTTTCATTTACTCAGTTTATTGCCCAATTATTGTTTGTATTCCTTTATCTATGTGTTTTATTCCTGTGTTTATTCTGTCCTTCATTCTTCCCGTACTTCCTTATTTGTACATATGTATTAATATTCCAGACTGAACCAGAATCATGTGTTCATAAACAGCCAATAGAGTCTAAAGCAGAGACACAAACCGGTTTCAGCTCAGAACCAGCCGGTCCGACAGAACACTGCCCAGAAATGAAAAATTCAACAACAACTGCAGCAGATTTCTTTTTGTCCGGCCCCAAAAAAACTCCAAAATACGTCCTGACTGCAGCTGGACTCCACAGAAGGAGTTTCATGCACCTTAAATCCAGATTTTTACAGTAAGGCTCAAAATTCCTGATGCATCCCTGCACCCAGAATACCAAACGCCTCCATTAATCCTGATGATAACAACAACAACAACAATAATAATAATAATGGTGTTTTTTTGGCCCTCTGAGGTTTAGAAACGAGCCGTTGGACTCAAACCTCGTTCAGGGCCATGAAAATAGCTGCAACACATACTAAGATTTTCATCATTTAGGGTAAAAAAATCTGACAAAATGCAGTTTAATAATAAAAAAGCTCAGACAAAAAGGAGTCGGCTGTCTATCAGAAGATCTGGAACATAAAACCAGAGGCCAGAAGCACCTTAAAAACAACCAGTTCCACCATCTTTACCATGCACCAACATGAGAGAAATCTTTGATTTATTTACATTTTTGGGAGTTAAATGGCCGTTGGTGGTTAGATTTGGATCAGAAAGTTGCTGTTGATGAACCAACGTCTGCACTGGAGGCTCTCAGCGGACCGGACTGCTCCTAAAAGCGGCGGATTGAGACGTTTTTACCGGCAGAGACAGCCCGGATCCACCTGACGGAGCTCTGAGCTCCAGCCGGAAAACACGGCTCCAGCACAACATGTTCCAGCCTGAAAAACGAGCCTTCAGACCCCCGCAAACAGCACGCAGGAGGCAGCAAGGAAGGCACCCCCACGCATCCCACCCACCCCCGCACCCCCCCAGCGCACGCTCACCTTTCAGGTTTCTGGGGTTGTTC